AAACCTCCATTTGGGGCCCTGCAAGAGTCTCTCAGGGCCTTCATGGCTTCCCATCCTTGGTCCCTCAGGCTGGACTCCTGCCCTGCCCTCTTGGTGGGGCTGCCCTGGAGGGGGGGAGACTCTTCCTTCAGCAGCCCCTCCCCACCACTTCTGCCATCTTTTGGGGTGGACAAGATTCCCCTTCAAGGAACCTTATTTAGGAAAGGGGTGCAAGGAAATCTGGGTGTAAAGATAGAGGCTGCTTTCGGCTGAGGAAAAGCTTCTCCACAAACCTCAGCCATTTCCCCTCCTTTCATCCCAAGGAGGGGCAGCCCCGGCCTTTTCCTCCCCCCCCCCGGGAGACCCCAGAGCTCATCCAGTCCTGCCCCTGATCCCCCAGGATCCCCCCAGATCCCTCCAGGCCCCCTGCTGGCCTCCCAGGGGAGCAGAGCTGCACCCAGAGGGCTCCCCCTGGTGGAGGAAGGACGAAGGAGGCCGGCCAGAGTGGAGGGGAGCCTCCTTTCCAGGCTAAAGAGCCCCAAAGGTCCCAACCTTCCCTCAAAGGGAGGCTCCTTACACCCCCCCATCGCCTGAGTCGCCTCCTCTGGACCTTCCCCAGCTCCCTCCGGTCCTTTTCTGGGGTCTTTTGAGCAGAAACTGCAGAGAATATTCCAGATGTGGAGGCACCCTTGAATTCATGTAACGGTTTATGACACTAGCCTCTCTGTGTTTTCAATGCTATTTTAATGATCCCTGATATCCTGTTTGCCCTTTAAATTTTTTATAAAATTTGTATTAAACTTTTTGAACAAAAAAACAAAGACTAATAGAAAGTAACCTAAAGTAAAGGAGATAAAACAAGGAAATCAAAGAAAACAAGAAAAGAAAACAATTAAAGTAAATAAATAAAGAAAAAAGACATGAAGAAGGGATTTCTGATATTCTTCACGGCAGTTCTAAATATAAATGTGTTTTAGCCCCTCTTAAGCAGCCTTCCTCCACCTTTTGACCCTGGAGGAACCCTTGAACTACTTTTCAGGCCTCCGGGAAGCCCTGAACATCCAGGCTCAAAGATGGGCTGAAATTGTTTCATGCATAGACCTGAAGAGATGCATTAATAGTGTTCTTACACTAAATATAAAAAAGAAAACTTGCCTTTTCAATGTGATCCCTGTGCTTTCTTTTTCCTGCACAAATATTCAAATCTGTGCCAAATTTGAGATAAGAAAATACAGATTTTTATCTTCAAGTGGAATAAGACAATTTCATTCTTTGCTTTTGATGCTTCTGAAATAAGACTGAGCTTGTTGTCAGGAGTTGAAAACAGCAGCCAAATATTTTGGGCCTTCCTGTGAATGGCAGGAGATTCTTCTTGGGCAGAAATCCAGAACTATTTTTCCCAGGGGGAGATCAGGGAATCTCCTCTCGAGGGAAGGATCAGACTGCACCTCACGAGGATCTTCCTCTTCCTCCAAAGGGAAGTTCTCAGGCTGAGCAGAAGATTCAGAGAAAGGATCCCTCACCCGTCGTTCCTGGGTGTGGAAAGGGAGGGAAAAGACCTGTCAGTTTAGTTCAACTGTACTTACAGGTAGTTTCTCCTTAGATTTGAGAGTTTCTGGCGTCCTTTCTCTCTCTCAAGGCCAAACAGAAGTAGAAACATTTCAGGATTTCCATTTGGTTTTTTTGGTTTTTCAAACATCCAGTGTTCTCCTTAAATCCAAGAATCTGTTCACTTGAAGATGAAATACCTGCTCCAGGGCCTTGCAGAGCCTGTAATCTTCAAGTTCCTTTCAAAGGCCATTAACCCTTTGGGTGTCCAGATCAGACTGGGCCACTTGCTGCTGCGGCTGAGGAAAATATTCCTTTGTGTCCCTCCGAGGCTTCATTCCCTCTTTGCACTAAACCCTGGTTTGTTTCAGGTTAGGCCAAAGTGGGAACCAGCCCTTGTGATGGTGCTATTTGTGCACATAGACCAAGATTTATGGTCACAGTGATCCCTGCAACCTTTTGAGTAGATCGACCAGATGCTCTTTGAGTCCATGAGATTCTCAGTCCCTCTTAGCAGCCGGAGATTCAGGCAACTTTTCTCTCTCTGTGGGATCCCTTCCTTTCCCCCCAAGAGTCTCCCCTGCAGAGGAACAGCAGAAGGAAAGATGGAAGGGTCTCCGTCCCTCCGTTTATTCTGTGACTCCCCCTTTTCTGGGTCTCCCTTGGGATCCTCTGCTCTCTTTTCCAGCTTCTCCTTTTTCCTGGGGAGGTTCAGGGGCTCCATCCTGGGGGGGAAAGGCAGGGGGGGGGGTCGAGGGAGGGGAGAAGGGCGGCTAGTGATGGGGGCTTTCTTTCCCTTGAACTCTAGGGAGGAAATGGGGGTGTCAGTGCCTGTGTCACGGTCCCTGCAGGGAGGGAGGGTCTATTTTCAGGACTCCCCAAACCATTTTCCTGTCTCTATTTCAGGCTTTCACATAATACAGAGGATGTATGGCTGTGAACTCCGGAAAGACGGGAGCAAAGGAGGGTTTGACCAATATGGCTACGAAGGGAGGACCTTCCTCTACTTCGACAAGAAGACCCCCACCTGGGTGGCTCCCGACCCCCAGGCCCAGATCACCAAGAGGAAATGGGATGGTATTCCAGCAAAGAATCAGTACTGGAAGTCCTACCTGGAGAAGGAATGCATTGAGTGGCTGCAGAAGCACCTGTCCTATGGGAAAGAGACGCTGCTGAGGACAGGTGAGCATCTGGATCCAGGCTGGACTTTCCTCCTTTGTGGCCGGATTTCTCTGACACATTCAGCCCCTTTGGGTCCCTTGTCTGGAGCCTGTTTGCCCTGGTGGGAATCCTCCTCCTCCTCCCCTTCCAGCCCCTCTTGCAGGACACGGGAAGCCCTGTTGGGTTCCCATTGCCAGGCAGCCATTCGGTGGACCAGGAAATGCAGCCTCTCCCTGGCAGGAAAAGCCCCTCCGGGTGTCCTGTTCACTGCCCACAATGAGGCAACCATTTGGGGCTATTCAGGGAAACCCCCATTAGCCCAACGGTAGCCAAGAGTGATGGGCTCCCTGAATCTCCCCCCATGAACTCTCCTTCCCCCCACATCCCACGGGGGGCTCCCTCCCAGTCTTTCACCCGATTGGGGGGCCTCCCATGCCCACCATTGTGGGGGCTCCTCTTCCGCCCTTCATAAGACATCATCAGAGCCCCCACTTGGGCAAAGAAGCCCATGGATGAGGGGTTCTCTTTCCAGGGTGTGGGGATCCCCCATAGTTTTTGTAGATCTTTCTCTTCAACCTCAAACAGGTTCCCTCAATTCTGACTTAGTGACTCTTTCCTCAAAACGGCCCCCTCCCCCCACAGGGGGGGTCACCTTATAACCTTTTCCTGTCATTTGTTATTAATTCACCATCTAGACCACCCCTCCCCCTCTTGGCTCTTTGATCCCTCCAGGATCAGCTGGTTGAGATTAGGATCAAGGGGGGAATCCTCCCCCCCCCCCGATTGCCAACAGCCCCCCCCCGCCCGGGGGGGCCTTCTCTCTCTTCCATTGGCCTCCCCCCCCTCTGCCCCCCCCCCCCTTTTGAGAGACAAAATCTGTTTTCCAGATAGATCAGTGAGAAATTCCGAAATCCCTGAGCCCCTTTTTCCTCTGATTCCGGCTCTCTTGCTCACAACATTGTGGTTGTCTCCCTTGGAAAGAGGCCTGGAGCAGCCTCAGATTCTGGGGAGCAGAAGAGGAACCAACAAGTAGGGAGCAACTTCTGTGATGTTGTGGTTGTCTTGAAAGGGAACTTAAAAGACCATCTCCACTCTCCCTCCCCTGAAGGGAGCAGCCCAAGATCAGTCAGAGTTGAAAGCAGTCAGAGAGGAATTTCCTTGGACCCTCAATTTGGGAAAATCAGGAGTTCTTGTGGTTGAGCATTTTCCAGATTTGGAGCATTTCCTAAAACTTTTGGAGATGCTGCAGGTGTGAAGTATAAATCCTGGGGTTACAACTAAGTGCTGGGAGATTTTCCTGCCCTTTCACGTTTCTCACCCCCCTTCCAAGCTCTGCAGGGGCTGAGAATTAATTCTGGGGGTGTCGTTTCTGCAGAGCCTCCAGGGGTGACGCTGGTGAGAGGCAAGACAGAGGTGGAGGATGGGATGGAGACGCACATCTGCCGCCTGGATGGCTTCTACCCCAGGGAGATCGATGCCTCCTGGAAGAGGGACGGGGAGGTCTGGCTGGAGGAGACCTTCCATGGGTCTCTGGCCCCCAACGCGGATGGGACCTACCACTACTGGCTCAGCATCCGGATCGACCCCAAAGAGAGGGGCCGCTATCGGTGCCACGTGGAGCACGACGGCCTGCAGGAGCCTCTGGACCTGGCCGTGGAAGGTGAGAGGCTGCAGGGAGGGGAAGGCTGGGCTCTTTGGCAGGCTGGGAGGTGGTGGGAGAGGAATCTGGCCCCAGATGTGTCCAGGTGTGAGCAAACCTGAGCTTTCATCCATTGGGTTTTCCAGTGTTTGAGGCTGGGGCAGCTGCAGGGACCAGAGCACAGAACTGACTTCAGGGGATGGAAAGTACAGACTCCCATCCCAAGAGTTGGCCGATCCTCATGAAATGCCCTCAGATCCTCTCTTAGGCCTTCCCCGTTCCTTGCCCCCAGCACCAGAAACAGATTTCCTTTTGTTCACAATTCCTAAAGTACAAGAATCAGGAGGAGTCTGGTTGCCCCTTTTCTGAAGGCAAATTTTGGCTAAAATGGATGCACTGCAGCCGACTTCAGGAAATGCAGAGAGTGGCTGGACTGATGCATCA